GAGAGGAGGTGATTGGCAGGAGGCGGTCTCCCAAGTACGCAGATCCACTACCATGAAGGGCTTTGTAGGTAGTAATTTCACTGGAGAAGAGCCTAACGCTGGGAAAGACTCTGAGCAAAAGAAGAAGGGGAGGACAGAGAATGAGGTGGCCGGTTGGAGTCACTGAAGCAGTAGGTGTGAGCTTAAATGGACTCCAGAGGATGGTAGAGGACAGGAAGGCCTGGAGGAACGTTGTCCATGGAGTTGTGATGGGTCGGACATGACTTCATAACTAAAAACAACAGTTTACAGCTAAAAATGTAAAGGGTGAAAAATGACAGCGAGGCTTGACTTGAACAGTGTGATAGCTTAATGCTGTCTTAAGTTTAAAAAGGAGGATACAAATAAATTAACCAAATTAGTTTAAAAGCTAATGTGGATAGGCCGACCAGTATATGTTCTCAATTTTCCTATATACAGGTAGTCTCGCTTTATGACCACAATTGAGCCCAAAATTTGTGTTGCTAAGTGGGATAGTTGTTAAGTGAATTTTGCCCATTTTATGACCTTTTCTTGCCACAGTTAAGTGTATCGCTACAGTTGTTAAGTTAGTAACATGGCTGTTAAATGAATCTGGCTTCCCTATTGATTTTACTTGTCAAAAGGCCGCAAAAGATAATCACGTGACTGCAACCATCATAAATATGAGTCAGTGAATTTTGATCATGTGATTATGGGGATACTGCAATGGCTAAGTATGAAAAACAGTCGTAAGTCACTTTTTCCAGTGCCGTTGTAACTGTGAATGGTCACTAAATGAACTGCTGTAAATCGAGGACTGTTGTAAAATGCAAAGTCCAACTATGATTTTAGCAGCCAAGGCAGAAAAATCACCTTCCACTCTTGTGGCAACAAATATAATTTTATATGCCTGAATTTCATCATAAAGGTAGGCCCTTCTTTCTGCTTTGGGATCCTTGGATTTAATTGTTGCTTTGTTCCTTCTCTAGATTATTCTCTTGGGAATATCCAAATTTAGAGTGCTTTTCAGATGAAGCTTTTGGTGGACTGCAATTTTCCAAAGTGCCCAGATAATAATCCAATCACTTTGCTAAAAGTAATCTGTTTGGTGAAGCATGGAAAGAAATGGTCATTTTTCCATTGTGAAGCTAGAGAGTTTGGATATTTGTTTCCTCTTTGAAGAATATATAGAGAATGATGATCCTCTTGAGGTAGAGAAGATCTACCAACAAAACTGTTCATTTGCAAAAATAAAGATATCTGGAACAAGAAAGTAATCCTATTTATAGGATGGTAGGGCTTTTTGAGGCCAGAAAGAGGGACAAGGGATTAATATGAACAGGAGTAACTTCATTCATACATACTAATGCAACTTTCTCAGATTTGCTGGTCTCTGCGGGTTATGCTGACTGGGAATTCTGGAAGTTGGAGTCCCTACACTTCTAGAGGACATCAGATTGGATACCACTACGTTTAGGCTTTTCATTTGGGATAACATTGAAGGAGTTAAATTTCATAGAAGAGATTGGAGGTCTGTATATTAAAAAGATGACTATCGTGATCTGGCAACCTTAAGAATTCTATTCTGTAACTTCTCAAAGCCAACTTATCAGAGATTCTATGACATCCCCCGGGTCTCCCTCCTTTCTATCTTGTCTTGTGAATTAAAGAACCTTCCTTTATTTGGGGCAATATTTCTTGCAGTTTTTAATTTGACACAGAACCTGATCCAGAGATAGAGGGAACCTAGGAAAGAAAGAAAGGAAGGAAGGGAGAAAGAGAGAGAGAGAGAGAAAGAAAGAAAGAAAGAAAGAAAGAAAGAAAGAAAGAAAGAAAGAAAGAAAGAAAGA